CCTGCACGGGAAGACGACAACGGTTCTTACGCCTTGCCCTTGGGCATTTGTATTTTAACTATTTTGGGTTCAATCTTCGAGTCGTGTTGCGAATCGAGCTTAATTGACCCTCAAGTTTTTTGTGCCAGCATGGGTGGATGAAAATGGCTTTTATATGCCTTGGGTCGAAGCGACCTTTTAGGTATGTGGCCTTGAGGCTCGTGAAGCTGGCAACGGTGGCTCTTATGCTGTGCCTTAGGCATGTATAGTTAACTATTTTGGATTCGGTCTCTGAATCGGGTTATGACTCGAGCTCATTTTAATCCTCAAGTTTTCAATTTTTTAGCTGGCGGCAGTGGCTCTTACGCTTTTGGTCGTTGAGACCTTTTAGCGTGTGGCCCTGAGGCTCATTTAACTGGCGACAATGGCTCTTACTCTTTTCCCGTGGGCATATGTAGGCTTTGTTTTCCTTTCGTTAAGGTCTTTTTGAGATAATTTTGCCTGACCCGTCATCGGTTCGGGAGGAACCTCGATTTCAAGTCGTTAGCAGCGATGTTTGAGCACCTCAGAAGGTTTAGCTCGTAGGATGAGTAGCTCGAAGCCTTGTAATTTGGAGCTGACATGGTCGAATCTTGTTTGCCTGTTGAGGGTAGCCTGTTTTAACCGGTTCTTTTTGAAGTAGATTCGAAGTAATGGCCTGTGATTTTGTTAGCGATGGTCGGGCATCCCCGAGTCGCGTTAGTTTGGCTGGTACAGCCATTTTGACCGTAGTCATATGTGTTTGGCCGGAGCCATTTTTGATCCTGAGTGATAGTTTAGGCGTCTACATCGAGGGTATGCTCTTTTGGGAGTCTTACAAATGTGACATATAGCCTAAACTTCGGGATTGAGTTTTATTACTATAGTAAGGGCTTACAATTTTCATGCCTGTTGAGGTCTTACAATTTTTCATGCCTGTTGAGGTCTTACAGTTTGTCATGCATGTTGAGGTCTTACAATTTGTCATTCCTGTAGAGGTCTTATAGTTTTTCATGCTTGTTGAGGTTTTATAGTTTTTTCATACCTGTTGAGGTCTTACAGTTTGTTATGTAAAGTAGGTCTGGTTAGACCAAGTCTGCCCGCTCGGGGTCTTAAGGCCTTAGGTTTCCCAGTAAATGGCGATTGACGTTAGTCTCCGAGTCATCGAGTTTGCTTAGGCCCGAAGACCGTTACTCATGAGTTTGGAATTACCTCGTTGGGGCCTTATGAGCACGGAGTTCCGAACCTGAGGTCGTGCGGGTGCTAGATCGTTGACGCTAAGTCTCCGAGTGTTTCGGGATGTACTTGATGGGGTGGGGGGATCCTTGCCGCGAGCATGACACATTTTTCTTTTTTGGAGTACGAGATACTGAAAGATATTCTTTAATTGCTTGGCATAAATACATGTTGTTTTGTTGTCGTGAGCTCGGCCCACGCGGGCACGACTCCTTTGACCGTTTGGCCCGGTACATGATTTCCTATTGGAACTTGGTCTATCGTTCTCCACCCCTTCGAGCGGACGGCGCCTTCAAGGGGGTGCCCTCCATCGTTCGGGGTTGATTGCAAAAGAAAGCCTGCGATCTTGTCGGATCCTCCTTAGGAGGTACGTTACTCCGCTAAGAACCTTGCTGGCGAGACCCTCTTCAGGGCGGAAGTCCGGCCGAGGGGAAAGAGTGCGACGGGTGCCGTTAAGGCCTTGTGATCTTCGGGTTGCGCAGGCAATGTTCTGAGGTTCGATATGTCCCTGCTATTTTAGAGCGAGTACTCTAGTACAGTCCTTCGCTGTGTGTAATCGGGCTTGGCTGAAGACGTGGTTCACTTACCCTTTAACTTATTCGAGAGTGGAGATATTGGTGACATCGATGCGTTATGTGATGCAAACATTTTCCTTGCTGCGTGTCGTTCCCCGTAGACGATTTCAATTCTGTCCTTCGTTGGGGGTTTCATTCTTTGGCGAAGAGGGGAAGGTACCGTTTTCATGCGGTGTGTCCGCCGTCGTCTGAATAAGGCGTTCATGCCTTACGCCTCTTTTGATGTACGGGACTTGGTGTTCCAGTCTGCGCCAGCCGCGCTGACTGAGAGAATGATCTTTCTTCTTGTTGTCTCGATCGCCGTGTGGAATCCACCAAAGATTCGAGACGTGGGCGTGATTTGGTCCGTCGGTCCGAGCCTCCCTATCAACCTCATCCCGACAACGTTGATCGAGACACCTGAATTCATGAGCATATGTTTTATTTGAAATGGATCGAATGAGGAAGAAGGTTACCAATGCGTTAGTGAGAGGCCGAGACAAGGTCTCGGTGTCTTTTTTGTTGAATGTGAGGGCGTCCTCGGGAATATATCCTCGGATTCGTTTTTCTCTGGTGACGAGCATTTTTACTCTCCTTTTTATGAGTTCTTGGAAAGTGTCATCACTCCTCCACTATCGTGGCAATATGTCACGGCTCATTTGCTTCATTCTTATTGGTCGCCTTCCCTACTCGGAATTGAACTCGAGCCTACTTGCTCCACAGTTTTCGGTGGTGATTTCTATTGAGTAGTTCGGTTATTTTCCTCCTGAGCTGGTGGCCACTTTTGGCCCCGTGGCCGTGCGTGTTATACAGTTCACACACCAAGCTGTGATTCCTCTGGGAGGGACTCTGTTAAATAGGTCTGGGCCATCTGGTGTCCCTGGTTTTGCTGACGATGAACACGATGTCTGATACAGCGATGTTGAAATTGTATCTTGATGAGCGAGGCACCCTTGCTGGCCTTGTGTCCCCGTCGAATCTGGCCCGGCTGATGATTCCTTGAGGATATTATCCTCGATCAGTTCTCTGATCGTTGCGAAGTAGGTTGCGTCTCGAGACATTCCTCCTATCTGTGGCGTACGACCAGTATCTTCCTTCATTTGATTTCGGTTTCTTTTCCAGGAGCATGCTTGGGTATGCTGAGCCCGAGGGGGCCTTCAACTGGTCATCCTCAACCCTAATTTGCGACTGGTGCCGGTTGCCGGCGTCCGGCCAGGTCTCAGCTGGATACTCGATCAAGTTCTGTTTCAACTGCCTTAAAATCATCAGGCTTTGTTTGTTTAGGATCTGAGTGAAGGCCTACACCGCCCAGTCGTATGAGACCGGGGGTAGTTTCGTTCGTTCCATCTGGGAACGAGATGCGAATTCTCGTAGCATTTCATTCTCCCTTTGTTCGATCTTGGATGCGCCGGGCTTTCTCGTCATTGCTTCGATGGCACCGACGTGTGCCTTCATAGAGGGATACGCCAGTACGGTAAGTGAGTTTATGGGGTCGGGAGTTAGGCTATGGTGCCGCATCACTGCCCCTTTCGGGAGCGCTTCTCCGAACCCTTTTAATAAGACAGACTCGATCTCCTCATCTCTCGTGTCATTACCTTTTACCGCGCACGTACAGGCGTAGGCAGTAATGTGTTCATTAGGGTCAGTAGTCTTGTTGTATTTAGGGAGTTCCGGCATTCTGAACTTCTTTGGGATGGGTTTCGAGGCTGCTTCCTCAGGGAACGGCCTTCGTATGAACTTCTTCGAATGCACGCCTTTGAAGACCGGGGCACACCCGGGATCTGGTCGACCCTAGAGTTGTAGGTCTCGACCTTCTTAGTGTTGGCTGCTATCATTTTCTCGCCCGATTCAACCCTTTTGGTGAGATCCTCAAGCATTTTTACTATGGCAGGGTCGGCTATCGATCCGTTACTGCTCGATCTCTCGGGTATCTATTCGGCTAGGGGAGTTGTTTCCGGCGCTGCCGTACTGGGAGTCTTCGGATGGCTTCATAACTGAGCAATGGCCAATTATTGTGCCTGCAACATTTCAAAAATATCGTGAAGACTAACTTCCTGTGCTTCCGAGCCGGGGTCTTTTGGGTTTCCTTTTGGTCGCCATGCTGCATGCTTCCGTCGGTGTGTGAGGTTTCGTCGACCTGTTGCGCGTCTTGCGAACCCGCGTTCGCTGGAATCGGTCCAGGTGCGTTATCGGGGTTCTGCGGTGGCACGCCAACGACTGGAACATCCACACCTTTTTCGCCGTGGTTTTCGAGGTTGTCGTTCTCGACTTTGTTTACTGAGCCAGACATTTTGACCTGAAATCAAAGATCTCGAACAAGAAAAACGTGGAAGATAACTTGTGTTTGTGTAATGAAACTAGCAAGAAAATAATCACTATTATTTTTAGCCCCACGGTGGGCGCCAAACTATTTACCGTGAAAATGGTAACAACAATTAAATTTGTAAATGAGACTCTAAAATTACGTGATCTATTTTTATGCTAGTTGTTAGAGTAGTTGATGCTAAGAGTATGAAGTTCAACGATGAGATGCAAGCTAAAACGGGGCAGTAATCAAACCGAGGGGCTTGTTGCCCGAGCTTCGGATTGGTCGATGAAGGGTCTCGGGGTCGATATCCGGCTCGAGTTCGAGCTATCGGGGGTAGTCGGGAATGAGATAACAGTTAAGATATAATTAAAGAAGGCTCTTTATGGCCAACACCAAGCGATAAATGAAGAACAAGTATGGAAGTAATAAATTCAAAGAGTAGCCTCGGGCAGATGAGTTAGAGAGAAAAAAGAAAGAGATATATTATTTATCTTGTGTGGAATAGTTGGAGCAACAACAATCCCTTACAAAGTGGTGTGAATTCTCTTTATACAGGAGGGGAACCCGGTTATAGTACAACATATATTAATTATAAAAGCATGGAGATGAGACGGCTAGAAGTGACGCCTCGACACAAGCTCTGGGTAGGCCGGCTCTTGTCAGACTTAGCCGTGTGCCTTGGGAATTCCCCCTTTGCTCTAGCCTCGATCTTCGTCTTCTTTGAGTTGGGCCTCGGCGAGTCCCGAGGGAGGGGACTCGGTCGTAACTCCACGTCCTCGGGGTCTCGAGATATTCTTCCGAAGTGGCTTGATAGCAAGAAATTAAGCCCTCTAATTTCGCCGCATACAAAAATGTCTACCTTTAATGTAAAAAAATGTGATGGAAATAAACATGATAGCTATTTTTACGTTTTATTATTGAAAAGGTTAAAGTTGTTCAATCCTTGAACAAGATGGCGTAGAAGTGTCAGTTTCAAACTTAAGTGAGCATTTAATCCCCTAACTTATTTGCTTTGATAAACCCATCTTGTTTCTTTTCTTCTTCTTTATGATCCCATACAAATTACACAATCTCGTCGCCGCCGTCGTCCGCCGTCTTCCGTCCGCCTTGGTGGGTTATTGCCGGAGTTCTATTTTTGTCTAATTTGGTCAAGGTCAGTACACCCCCAAGAATATAGTGTTTAAATGTGTTTTGTCTTTTTATGCTTTAGCATAAAATTTTCTTTCTTGGGCGTGCATATTTTATGGAAGCTTCAAAAGTTGTTATTTCGGTTTGTATTTTTTCTTTTTGTGATTAATTCTTTGGAATAATTTATGATAGTTACTGTTTTGCTGGTTTTAGATAATGGTAAAGTCTTTCATGGTTCACCTAATTGTTGTTAACTAGTGTAATAATTTATAGGATCAAAGGTTTAATCTTTTTTGGAAACAAAAATATAGAGATAATAAACACAGTAATATCATGCATTTAATGCCCGTGAACCAATTTCTCATAATTATAGAGATAATAGACACAGTAATATCATACATGCATTTGGTAAGAGGTTAAAAAGGACTACCATTTGTAATAATCATAAGAGAGATGTTGGAAATTAATTCTTTGTATTGTGAGGACCATGTTTTTGAAGGGGTGGCTGAGTCAGCCCTGTCAATTGCTTTGGGTGCTGTTTCTTTTGCAACATAGTTTAGTTTTTTTAGAAAGGAACTTGGAATTTATTAATATTTGTCAAGTTTCTGAAAATTTCAGCTTCTAAGTACGTTCTGCTGAGAAGTATAATTCTTTCAGAAATAATTCGATAGATTAGGATGTTGTACCAGTTCATACTGCAGTAGTGTTCTTTTCTTTTGCAAGTAAGCTCTATTTTTTACCAGATGGCTTCACTGGAAGAAAGTTTGCAGAGGTTCAAGAAGCAGCAGAAGAAGTGCCAATCTACACTTAGAGTATAGCTACCAAAGCAGGACCTCCCATACCAACTCCTTCAAAACAATACATTGCCAACTGCAACAATGACAGCTAGTGCTAAACCTCCTGCCCTGCCGTTTAATTTTCAAATGATTCAGAAAGGCTTCAACACATAAATAGCATACGAAAAGCTCCTGTGTGGGCTCAGATTAAACGTGTCATAGACTTGTTGCTGGAGGTATATCCCTACCCTCGATCTCCTATTTTGTTTCAGCAATTTCATATTTTTTTTCCTGAATCTTCATCTTTGTAATGGCTTTTGCAGAGTTTTATCATTGTTTACCTTGTTTTGCTTATGTGCATCTTTTATCCATACATATACTTTTATCAACTTAGAAGAAATGTATGAATATGAGTATTGCGTTAAAATTGGATCTCGTTGATGTCACTTTGAGGATTATTTGTATTTTCTATCTTTTCTGCTTGCAGAGTGAAATTTCAGGGTCAAGTTAATTTCTCATGCCTACGTTTAATCTCATGATATATGGCATATACAACTCCTATATGTCTAAAGAAATTCTTGTACGTATCACTTCAATGTTCCTTCTTAAAGACTTACAACTTTCTTTGCTTAGCTAATAATTCCCTTCTTTATCCCCTTATTTGTTCCTTCTTCTTTTCATTCTTGTGTGTGGAGGTGGATTTTGGGTTGATAGGGGTTGCAGGATTTTCCATTTGGAAATCTATACCCTTGAATGATTGTAGGTTTGAGGTGTTTAGCTGGGTAATAAGTTCTTTAAGTCCTTGTTTGTCAAAAAGCAAAAAGAAAAAAGTTGTTTAGATATCCTGCAAGCCCATTCTTTGAAGATTTATAAAATCTGTCTGCTGGACTTTCATGTACTAGTTTGATTTATAGATCAACGAGGATGGTGCTGCTCTCTTCAGTTTATGCTTGAGAATGTGGTAATCCTTAATCTCTGGCAGTATGACTGGTGCTTGTGCCGTCTACTTGTTAAGATAAGAAACTAATTGCATGGTATGTGCTTTTGTCTGGACAGACTACTAATGATTGATAGGAAGCCCCATGTCTGTGGATTGACATATAGTGCTTAGCAGAAAGTAGAGCCATATTCCCCAATGAAGGGTGGCTGGTTGTGATGCAGCGGCACATGATACTCAGTACCCTTTTAATCTTCAGTTGCAGTTGCTCCGTTCCAATATCTTTTAACACAAGTTAAGGGTTCCTAAAACTACGAATTCTAGTCCTACACGTAATACAACTCTCTAACCAAACTAAAAGGGCTCCTGTCAAAAATTGGACGTAATGTAACTTACCAACAACTGTAAGGTATTTGCTTCCACTATGTTTTATTATTCATTTCCGCATGAATTCCAAGAGATTGTAGGTCTTTTGAAATAACATTCTTCCATGTGATTTTAGGTCAATCCCGTTTTCATGGTATCACACTTGCGGATAGGTGCAGTCACGTAGGACATGATCAAACCATCTTGGATGACCTTTCCTCTTTTTGTTCTCTTCATGTGCTACTTTCTGACAGATGATTTTGTCTAATCTTGTATTGTCACACTTCTTTTATTTTCTTTTTTAAATATTCACATTTCTATGTCATTCATCTTGTGGATATAGTTGGCCTTAGTGCCCTAACATTCATTCTCATAATTTTGGTCCTGCAACCGTGACTATTGAACTTACAACTCACTTTAATTGGTATCCTCTTATCGCAGTATCTCGTAGCACTCCATTTCAGCTTTCTATTATATCTGTGTCATCTCGATACTGACTTCAATTAATTGCTTGCAACCTGATCAGCTACTCTAGTTTAAGCTCATTCTCCTTGGCTGTCAGTCATTTATTGGCTGTAATTTTATGGAGAACTAAATACCTTCTTCTTATTGCTATAACTAGGTTCATTGGAACTTCTTTGATTGATGGTGTAGGTTGGTTTTGTATTACCTTATTGTTAGGGATGGAAATGAGATAATATCCACAAAGCTGGAACTGATCAGATATAATTTGAAACAGCTGAAAGAAGCCATTTGTGAAAAGGACCAATGATGTAATTTCTTGACTATGGTTGAAGCTATAGCCATTAATCCGCAGGCTTATGATGGCTTCCGTCTGTCTTACTGGAATCTGGTGATGGGTGATATAAGAAGCTGTCTGAATGGTCTTCTTTTGGGGGGAGGGGAGGGAAGGGGAGGACAGGAAAATGCTGATTCTGTAGAAGAATGTATTTCATCTCAGTTTCAGGAAGAGCACATCTAGGTCAGATGAAGATATAGACACATTAGGCTTGTGGCTGTTAGAACAATGACTAGGTCTATCTTTGAGGATTTGTGATGTGCTCATTTTGCCATTTCTTTTGGACAAATTGCTCCCACTGGAGGCAGTAGTTTGTTTGCTTATAATCTTGTCAAATATCCCAAACATGATCTTAAAAATTAAAGATCAACTACTAGTCCTGATATGAGAATTCCCTGAGTGTATTGCCCCGATGATAATTGCATCTCTACTTTGATGTACTGATGTAGACAGGTGTAGGCTCCCAAAGCTGCTATACCGAGGAATTGAATTGCCACTTGACATGCTTGATATTGAGAAGGATCTCCAGAAGAATAGAATGAAGACCTGCCACCACAAACACTGCAAAGAGAAGAGCTATGGCACAAATTCATGGCATTGAAGAAGAAGCATGAGATTAGCAAGAGGTAAGCTTACAAACGCCCACCTACTAGAACTCTTCAAGCTTTAGATTTACTTTTGGTTCTGAAATGTTCCATTATCGGAAAAGGGGCAGCAGCATTTCATCATCTCAAACAAGTTATAGTCCTCATTTCGTATAAGAGAAGCAAAGGCTTTCCAGATTCTGATATCAGGTGGTTTACCCTCCCGAGAATAGGCCAATGTTGCAACCCCACCAAGCACAGAAAGCTCCGAATAAATGGCAAACATTTGTATTGTTACTCCATATTACCAAGACTTATGGATCAGTGCTCCTCAAAACAACTAACATTAGTATGGATCAGTGCTAGGTTTTTGGCTTTCTATATTTGGAGGTTAGTGTTTTTATCCTTATGCATTGAAGTTTTTACTTGGTGCTAAAGGTTTGCCATTGTGTAGGATTTTGGACGTTCAACACCATTGCTATGTATATGTATATTATTTTCATGAGGTTCAATAAGTTAAAATTGCAAGGATCTTGTTCTTGACGCCATTACTTGGTCATATTAGAGTTTCAGAATTCAGGGAAGCCTGTAACATGCGAATAGGCAAATTTATATCGACCAAAAATCAAGGACCTTATTGATCCCCCTTTACTAGTAAGCAAATCTATTAATATTCCCTTAAAATGATTAACATTTCAAACTTATTACATGACCAGATTATTGTATCATATATCAAAGCCTTAAGGACTTTCTTGATAGATATCGTCGCGCCTTTGATTCTCTAAGGGTAAGCTGTCCCTGCAAATGGTTTTAATGAAGTTAAGATAACTGCAATATCTCATACTGAAGCAACTTAGGATATACAGCAAATTATGCAGATCACCTTGTAAGTTGAATCTTAGCATAATCAATCTCAGCAATTAGAATTGCTTCCTCGTGTCCTGTGGTTCCAATAATTTCACCCATCTACAAAGACAGATTACAGTGTTAGTCCTGAACTTTTGAGGGCAACAATTGCAGATAAATGATACAGTTTGTTGACATACTGGTCCAGCCACAGTAGAATGACCCCATATCATGTAGCTACCAGCCGAGTCTCGACATGGTGAGCAAGTTGCCACATAAAGCTATCACCAAGTTTGAGTCAATTTACAGCCTCTACCTTTGAATTTTATGGAGATTTAAGTGTAATTAGCTGGTTATCGACTGCCCTGCAAAATCAAAAGTTTAAGTGAAATTTGTTACATATCAAATCTCAATCGACAAAATCGGATCCTTAAGAGTACAAGACACTTTCTTGTTTTCGGATTGACTGTCTTATTATGCATATGTAAGGGCAGCCCGGTGCATAAGGCATCCCGCGTTTACGCAGGATTTTGTGTAAGTAGCGTCACACTTAAAACAAAATAACAAATAAAAAAATTGCTATAACACCAACTCGGAGGTTAAAATATGTTTTCGGGAAACGTTTTGACATGTTGCTTAGAATATTATTAAACTAGTTAATTTGTCCGCACTATCATTAAATTAAATCATTAACTTTTTATAATATCCAAATATTATAATATTTCAAACTAAAATTTTAAATACTTTTTTAGTCTTCAAATCTAATAAATTTATAAAAGTGAAACATTTTTTCTCAGTTTTCTCATAAAAAACATGTAAAGAAAATGATCAAGAAAACTTGATCTCTTTACGTGCATATCTGTATTAATTTAAAATACGATTTTGTACTCTGTACATTTAATATGTGAGTGTAAATTAAGTTTTCTCTTCAAATATTAATGCTTTAATAAAATAAGAATAAAAAAATAATAAAAAAAATCAAATTAATCTACCTTGCTCGTTTAGTTTTAAAAATAAAAAGAAATATCTACCAACCTTTTACTATAAAATAATTTATTTTCTTCCTCAAAGTCATTAAATTATACTAATATTTCTCAAATCTAAAAAATATATTAAATTCCTTTGACAGTTTCTCCTATAAATTCAACATACACATAAAAAAAGTGCGAAGAGAATCCATAGAAATTCAGATGGATAATATTCCAAGCTGCAATCTCCTTGAGAAATATCTTTCTGTTCATTCCTCTGAATAGCTTATCACAATAGAATTACTAAAGAAGATGGGTATTATCACTTTTAGCCCGCATTAGAAATCATTTACATTTGATAGCCGAAAAAGTCGATAAAATTTGTATAATTTTTGTATATAACATACAGAATGTGCATATATATTAAAAATATATATTTTTCGACTATTATTTTCAGAACGACTATACAGTATCATTTTCCCTTAGTTAACATAACCAAGAAAAAAAAACAGCGAGACAGAAAAAGAAAATGAATGAATAACTGAGGATTAGAGTTTAAACTGACAAAATAGAATAAAAAGAAGCACATCATACCTGTTCCATGTTTTAATATTTGCTAAAAGTAACCACTTCATGCAATATTTCAGACAATAAAAATAACACTGTTATGTGAGAGCTCAAATAGTATGATGTAAATATATAGAATAAAGTAATTACAAAATTTATATTGAGTCATTTACCGACCTAACTTCTTTTCTCCGCAATGCTTATTGTTACCGGGGGATTGGAATATATCATTAGAACACAGGACATTAGAAAAGAATACAGTAACAGGAAGCCAAAAAAGTGCAACACTAATCTATTATCATATTTGGGAAGCCTAGCTAGCACCAAAAGGTGGAAACAAATGAAATGGGCATAATAGGTCCTCCCCAAAATTGAGAGCACGTACATATGTGAATTTGAGGGAATAGGAAAAGATAGAGGAGGAGAATTTATGGTAAGGATATTTGATATACAACCTATCGTGTGATTTCGGTTACTAATTCTAAAATTAGTAAGCCTTTATTTCTTTTGTCTATATTAATAAGCCTTTATTAGTACATGATAGTTATAATGATTATAGTCAAATTGTAACTGATGCAGAGTTTATATTTTCAGTTATTTTCTAAATTAATTAGGTGACAAGTTGATTAATTGCATTTGAAGACTTTTCGAAATATTAATAATTACGTTGATAAATAAAGAAATGAAGGGAAAAGTCAAAACAAGGAGAAAAAAGATAATTGAGTTTCTTGGCTAAAGAAACATGTCGCATCATCTTTCATTTTCCCAACTTTATTATATATNCTTAATAATGAAGTTTTAATAGAGCCACTATTGTGATTTTTTTTTCCTAATCTTTTTTGTTAGATTTCCACTAATTGTCTTTGCATGTTCAGGGAACTCTTCTTAATCGTAAAAAAGAAAAACATCTGGACGAATCACGTGTCATTAGGATTAGGACTCTTCTAGGTAAGAAAAGTAGCATATGCAAAGACTCGAACCCACATCACACATTAGCATAATGAAATGTGTTACCGCTGAATTGGAGCATCTTGCATGTTCAAGGGGTGCCACCGTAAGGAATTTAACTGTTATTTTGTTTTTAATCTATCATTAATAGATATATTTAATGAAACATTTTAGCGAAGCGGGGTCACTTGTAACCATGTATATCTGCCCAGGGATGTGATATAGATAATCTACCCTAATGCAAACATAGTGACTGCTTCCATGGCTCCGAGGCTACCTTAATTATGCATATGTAATACGATTAAAAAAACATGACGAGGACAGTAGAAAGTGCTATGATTTTGCCAAAATTCTTGCCTTGTTCTCTGTTCCAGCTCCCACAAATTAAAGCCTCCCCTGTACACATGTTGAAAGCTCCAGGATAACAAATTAGATGAGCACCTGATTGTGACCAGCAACAAGTTTCTAGTAAACATGGCCGATGGAGTATGTAGCCTAACAAGACTAAACACTAGTTTAAATATGAAAACTATCATTACCTCGGGAAACGAAGGTCATGGCAAATTCCTATGCCAATGCAACCAAAATCTGCAGTATATTAGAGTCATTTCTTGAAGGGCTTCTAAAAGATGTCTTACGTGTTTATCGCGAAAATGATAATAACAATTAAATTTGTTAGTGGGATTCCAAAAATATGTGATCTATTTTTATGCTAGTTGTTTAAGCAGCCGATGCTAGATATGTGAAACTTAACGACAAAATACGAACTAAAACAGGGTTATAATCAAACGGGGGGGCCTGTTGTCCGGGCCTCGAACTAACCGATAAGAACCTCGAGGCCGATGCCTGGGCTCGGGCTCGAGCTATCGGGGGTAACTGGGAAGGGACTAACAGTTAGAGTATAATTAAAGGAGGCTCTTTATGGCCAATATCAAGCAATAAATGAAGAGCAAGTATGAAAGTAATAAATGAAAGAGGTAGTCCCGAGCGAGTAAGTTAGAGAGAAAAAAGAGAGAGAGAGTTGTTATTGATCTTGTGTAGAATATTTGGAGCAACAACAGCCCCTTACAAAGTGATGAGGATCCCCTTTATATAGGAGGGGAAATCCAACATAGTACAAAGTATATTAATTGTAAAGGCATAGAGATAGGACGGCTAGACGTGACACCTTGATACAGGTTCTGGATAGGCCGGCTTTGCCATACTTAGCCGCGTGCCTTGGGAGCTCCCCATTCTACTCTAGCCTCGATCGGTATCCTCTTTAGGTTGGACGTCGACGAGCTCTGAAGGAGGGAACTCGGTCACAGCCTCGCACCCTCGGGGTCTCGAGGTGTTCTTTTGAAGTGAATTGATAGCAAGAAATTGGACTCTCTGATTTCACCGCATACAGATAGTCTCCGCGTTTCTCATAATGAAGCGATGGGAAATGATCATGATACCCGACTCCTCGGGCTTCCCGTGATGATGTCATACCGATAACGCAACCTATGGGGTGAGCTTTTACGATAACCGGGACATCCCATGGACTTGTCTTTTTGACACCACTCAAATGCGCTGTTGATTCCCGTTCTTCAAAGTGACAGTACCGCCGTCGATTTGGTTCTTCAAGAACACATTAATTATACATGTCGGTCAATCTTCTAAGGGCATTGATGGCCGTGTCATTATCCCCTATAAATGGGGGCGTTCTGGCGTCATTTTTCTATCTAAGTGCCTTTCTCCATTCACTTATGCCCTCCTTCTCGCCATCTTTCTATAATGTTAATCACCATGTTTGAAGTCCACGGCCTTAAGGTTGTTGGGCTGCATTCCCATCGACCGGGAGATGGCCTTTTGCCTGAGCTTCCCTTTGTCGAGCGAGATTATTCTGTCTTGTCGTCGCTATCGATGTTGTTACGATTGTTATTGCTGTCCTCCCTGGCCCGAGATGACGATAGACAGGGAATCGACTTTCCCCTTTTTTAGAAAGTTATTCGGACTACCACTGCTCACTCTCCTATCCTAGCCTGGTGTGGCACTTCATCCCTTGGGTTTTTTCTTTCCCGAGGGATAAAATTGCACAACCGGCCATTGAGGCTGGGGCCCGCTGAATCTTCAACCTTTGGCTTTAGCGGGCTATGTCTCTTTTTTCTGCCTCTTCTGCATCCCCCCCTTTTCCTCTTCTTCATCTTCTCCATCGGCGAGGACATTCCACGGGATTAAGTTGGGAACCTAGAGGA